GCTGCAAATCTCAGTGACAGACCTGTGCTTTGGAGTTTTACAGCATGGTATCACTGAAGACCTAAACTGTAATGGTGTCCCTGCTGTCACAATTCAGATGTAGCTTTTTAAGGGGTGGAAATGGTGGGACCTTAACGATACAGCTGAGAGCTTTTTCAGGTATTTTTGAGCAGGAGATGCCAATGCCTGCCTAAATGAAAATCCCATGAAGGGGTTAGGGCTGAGAAAGTGGCTTCATCTTGCAAATAATTGCAGTGATTTTTGTGGCTGTCACTATTAGAGAGATTAGTTTCAAACTGCTTTGTTATTCATTTTTTTTTTACATTCTCTTTCATGGTCATTAATGCAACATCCCCCAAGTCGTGATGCTGCTTAGCTTGCCAAGAGTGAAATTCAGCTGCTTTTGCCCTAGCCACCCGAAAGTTTAAATTGGCTATCTGAGTTCTATCTGTAGGTAAAGAAGCAAAAGTAATCTAGCTCCAGCAGAGAGGGGAGAGATAACTCACTGTATCTAAACCCAAGCTTTTAAGCTGAGTGGGTTGAACTGCCTTCTGCCTCTCTTTACAGAGTGTAACAAGAACTGAATTAGACAGTTCAGAGTGGATGCCTACTTCTTTGGTGGCTGAATTTAGAAAAGAGCTACCTTACTGTGTGGCTGACATATAAGAAAAAGAAATTCGGGTGTTCACAGCTACTACAAGCTAAATTTTAGGGATCCTGTTCCTTGTAGTAGATGCCTGTGCTGCCGGCTCTGAGCATGGAGAGGATTAGGTACCTCTGAAAACCTGTGTGCTGAGATCAGGACTGCCTGGAGCATGCAAAGAAGCTCAGTGCTTAGCGAGGTGACACAGCTCACCTGCAGCCTGCTCTTTTCTGGGATCTTGGAGCCTGTGACATCCACATGATGCTTCCTATCTGCGATGTGTAGGAAATCAGGTGCTTTCAGAGCAATTAGGACTTGTTAAACAAATGCCTGTTGACTGAGATTTGTGTGTTTTTCAAGTCCTGTGAGGTAGAGGGCTACAGTGTATGACCCATAAATGCATCTGAAAGAGGAAAAAGTAGCTAGGCACCATACCCTACTGCTTCAAGCTTTCAGATAGGCAATTTTAGGATGTGGAGGTTTGTTGCATGTAAATCTGCCTGTGTATTTCAGACAACAGTCACAGAATAGAAAAAGAAGTATTTTGAATGACAACCTGGAAGTCCTTTCCTCCCAACTAAGTACATGATCTACTCAACTGCAGAGCCTCTGTTGCTCTAGATTCCATTTAAAGTCTGCTGGGACACTTGTATCTTGGTGAGAGAAGGACGAAATGGAAGGGGTGAAGAGTTCATCTCCCATTTTAGCACGCAGACACGCAGGCGGAGAAGCATCAGGAGCTGCAGGTGCAGCCTAGATTTTGGGTTCTGCTGGATGCATTCATGTTAAAAGTGAATCATTTGGTCATTGAGCATGAACTGAGAATAAAGTTCCTTCTCATTCTTTGAGAATAAAGTGAAGGGGTAGTCTCCAAAGGAATCCTTCGAATTACACCAGGTAATGGCCAGACTGTGCTTTTATATAGGAACTCTAACTATAGGAAGAGAACTGTAATGTTTTAAATTAAGTGCTATAATTATAGCTAGTGGATTTGCTTTAGATTTCCCTTTAAGTTTAATAAACTGCTTTAAAGCATTTAATAAGACCTAGAAAAATATGTAAGAGAAGTACAACTAATCCTATTAATGGAAAACAGCATTTCAAAGGAAAGTTTTTGTTATTAAATTCCTGCTGCTGATTTCTGTGAAACAAAAGAGATGTTTAAGGAAGCTTTGGAAACTAGGTGGTAAGTGACACTTACCCTTGATCTGAAATGCCTAAACATGCAACATTGTTGGTACAGCTGAACGGTGACCTTCCAGGCTGCCAATACAGACAAACACACATGCTATGTCAGGTAAATCACACAGAAAGAGATTTCCTGAGGGGTTTGTTAAAGCCCAACTCATAGGAAATGATGGCGATTAACTCATTAAGGTCTGTCTGCCTTTTTGCATGTGAGCTCTCCACACAGCTGTAAGGATAATTAGTTTCCTTTAGCTTAGTGAGTATTAAGGAATATTAAAATGTTTAGTTTTTATGGACAACAAACATACTTGGGGTCTGGGAGAAAACCCCACAGAAATGCAAGCAAACCCCCTTAGTCTTTAAACTGACATAGAGTCCTCATTCCCAGGTAGCTATGATGCGTTTGTTGTGTTTGGATACGTTCTGTCAGATGGCTTTGTAATAAATGTTACTGGCTTCATCTAGGGAATGGATTTGTCTAGGCAGAACCAGATTAAAGCATCAGTATCCTGTTCTGAATTAGATTTCAGTAATGCAGACATGGATGTGCACCCTGTTAAATAAGGATACCCTCTATTCTTGCATGTTACTGTATTTGTATGATAAAGTGGGTAATATAAAGTTGCCATCATTGCCTCATGTCCTGTCTTCAGCCTGATACGCTCACATCAAATCGCACATCTACACACCATGTTGTTTCAGCTCTGCGCAGTGGCACTGTGGTCCATGGAGGGTTGTAACACTCTACCCTTCCAAGCGGGTTTTGGACTATTCACTGCTACAGGACTCTTCCCAGCCAGAGCAAGGATGGCTCAAAAATTGTTTGAGGTCACCTTCAACTGTGTTTTTCCTGCCAGGAATAGGAAGAAATCACTGAATCTGAGACAGTATTGTTTGGAATGAACGTTGCATGGGCTTATTGTGAAAGAGAAAGGATTTACTTGTCAGATAGGACTTAAATTATTATGTACAATATGAAAGATGACATTTCTGTATTGCTGGAGAAAGACAATTGATAATTTGGTAAAAGGCCAAGACACACAATATTCACCTTTGTAATTTATCATCTCAAAGAAACAGAAGTCGTATAGGAGGTACCTGACCAAAACAGTTTTTAAGCAGAAATGAAAGCTGGTTCATATTAATGCATTTAGCATGAAAGGTCTTATTAGGAATTTGCTGTTACCAACAGTAAACATGTAAAAATCTGAAGTTCATAGTTAAGACTGTAGGAAATCTACAGAAAAGCTACAAATGATAAAAGAGAGGAATTTCCACATTAATAATATCAAAAAAGGTATTTAAGACTAGGGAGATTAAGGTCACTAAAACAACTTCAGCAGTTCCTGGAAAGAACTTGAAGTCAAATCTTCTTCCTCATTGAATACAGTCTTAGGGGAAAAAGAAGTGTACAGGCTCTTCTAATACATGATTAAACATCACATTGTAAAAGAAGTCATATCACCTCCTTTACAAAGATTCTGTGTGCTAAACATATTGCACAGACGGTCTCAAGGACAGTTCTGATGTGTCATGTATACACATTTCTTTGGCTCTGTTACATGGACATAGTGCATAACTATGGAAAAGCTTAAAAGGGAATCATGCTTTCCAGCAGTGTTTATTTTGCTGCCAGGCAAGAAAGAGGTTGTCAAGCAGCAGAATGTGTTCTTTAGCTTTTGAACCAAGAGAGCCTTATGTCTGCAAACATGTCGTACAATTTTCTATTTTATGAAATAAAATATATGAACAACATTATACAAGATGAAAACCCATAAAAGAATAAGAAGTACAGGAGATGCTGCTCATTTCATGAAATGGCTGCTAAAATAAATGCAGGATTCTTCATTACTACTAAGGGGTACAGAGCAGTTAGTAGCTGAGGTTTACTGGATACCATCTTCTGGTCTGGCAAAATTTTGGAGACCAAGGACTTCTCCTGCTTTCTGTGCTCTTGCCTACTCTTCCAAGGGATAGAGTGCCTCTCAGCTGTTTTTTTAACCTTTCCTTTCCTTTGTAGTAATGCAGATCCCACCTCCTTCTTTACCCCAAACATTTTTACCTATTCAACTGGACAGCTCTGGTGCAGAATACACGATGCTGAGATTTAATCAGATCAGTAGTACTGGCATTGTTTGTGTCGTATTGCAAGAATTTGTGGGTGGGTGGCTAGGAGTGTTGCAAGTGTGACAGGTCCTGCATTTGTGATACTGCACTTTTTAGCATGTAGGTAAGAGCATTTTCATCAGATTTGAAGGCTTTAACATCAATGCATAAACATAGAGCTTCCCCCATCACAATTCTTTGAACACTTAAAATGGTACTTTAAAATGGATTTGCAATTTGTATTCAAAATTGGGATCTATGTAAATTGCAGATTTTTCAAAGTTTAAGAAGAAAGAAAACAGCCAGGTTCTAAGATTTTCTCTCATAGAAGAATTTGTGTTGCATCTCATTATGGTACGAAATTGTCCTTGTCAGAGCAACATACGTAAACATTTCAATCTGATTATCTCAGTTTTGTCAAAATTGTGGAAATTAAATTAAAACTTGCTTCATACTGCAAGCCTAAAGATGGGAACGGACTTCACTTTAGATTTGCCTATATCAGATATTGTGGTCTTCCGTTTTACCATATGAATTCAGAGAATCAAGAGTTAGTCACCACTCTGGTGTTGCGATATTACAATAAGAAAAAAAGAAATATAATGGGGGGATTTTCCCAGTTTCAGAAGTCATTGCACTTGTATTTACTTCTGAACCATTCTTGACAGCTTGCCACAAATATGACACCCTAAACATACCCTTATGCCATGCAATACATGTGCTTATGTCTCATGCTATAAAACACTACAGGGGGCTTTATCTCAGGAATCCCTTATTGCATGCACTTCAAAGTCAAAAGAAAAATTGAAAACAACTGTATTTCAAGGCACAATTTAGGATCTAGAATGCGTTGGGCCCAGCAGCATGAGGAGTGAGTCAGTGCATACTAGCATTGAGCAGTCTGGACAAGAACCAGTCAGTAAGACCCAGATGAGTAGCCAGACAACCACGAGTTGGCTAAAACCAGGCTAAAGCCATAGCTTTCAAATAGGAAGCTGGTACTCACCGGGTGCTGGTATTTAATTATGCTTTAAGGTTTTCTTGCTTGTTTTGACTTTTTCAGAACCTGAGGCGGGAGAGGTGTCCCCCCCAGTGGGAGCTGGTGTGAACAGCAACAGCTGGACCTTTAAATTTGGACCGGGCAATCCCAAACAAAGTGGTCCTGGTGAGTTGCCAGACAAATTCATTATCCCAGGATCTCCTGCAATCATCTCCATCCGGCAGGAGCCACCAAACAGCCAAATTGACAAAAGTGACTTCATAACCTTTGGCAAGAAGGAAGAGACCAAGAAAAAGAAGAAAAAGAAGAAGGGGAACAAGACTCAGGAGAAAAAAGAAAAGGGCAACAGCACCACTGAGAACAGTGACCAGTGAGGGGTTTATACTGAAAGAAACCATTTAGCCAGTTTTTGTAATAATGGCAGATTTCTCCTATGTAGCAACTCCCAACTTCTTCCTATTGTTAACAAATTTTCTGTATGTACAGACTTGAGAAAATCAGCAGGAATTTCACAGTGTCTGTCTAAATTGCTTAACAGGTTTTGTCTTAAAAGCTTTATTAAGTCTGGTGTTAACTCTTTTTCTCCGCTCTGGCTTGTTTTCAGAATCTAAAAAGCAGACACAAGTTTCCTTTCTCCTACGCCGAAAGGGAGAATCTTCACAGTACAGCCAGTGAGAGGTTGGACTCTGCACTGTGGTTCCTGTGCTCCTGTCTTGATGACACTTACAGGACAGGTTTAAAAGTTTTAATGTTGTGCACCCTCTACCTGATTGGAAATATTTGTGTGCAGATGTCAGATAGATTATATGAGATCAGATTATAAAATGCAAGAAGAGCTGGTAAATATGCAACAGAGGAAACACCTAATGAACACAAATGTTCAAAGATGTTCAGGCTGGGGAGGAAATGTCTGAAAGGAGATGACCAGACTTTTCAAGTCTTGAAAAGTCACTGTGTGGAAATACTGAGTCCTATATATGACGTATTATACACACCCCTGCAAATAAAACCTCACATTTACAGCTCTTTAAGATACCATAAATTTTATCTTCTACCAAGGAAGCCATTGGGACAATTGTCCCTTGAAGCCCTGCATTACCCTGGCATGGCTAGCCCTCATAGTGTAAGAAGAGCTGGGCTGACATCCCAGGAATGTAACTGACTGTGATGCTCTATGTCCCTATTTCCACTCTAACATGATTTTGCACATTATGTCTCTGAAAAGGTCAGAGTTTTTCCACGACACTTATGCAAAAGAGAGAAAAAAGAAATGTTAACTATGCTGTTTGTTATTTGAGATATTTATTTATAAAGAAATATAGCTGTAAATGTTGAAGAAATATGATGCCCTTTAACCCAAACAGAAGACAGTCTAGAGCCATTATAAATTACAATTGCTGCTATTAAAGTGCTTTAGAAAAATTGCCTGAAACATCTGTACTATATCGGCCACTTGCCAATAACAGCTTTATTCTGTCGGGTGACTTGGGGGCTGCCTCTTGCATGTATTAATAAATACAAGAATATCTTTTCTCTTTTTTTTATTTTTTATTGCATTGATCTGCACTTTGAATACACCTTTGCAAACAAACTGTCCTCATATGAAGAAGCAGAAGCAAACTCCTCACACAAATGGATTTACTAACCTGCTAGCTTTGTGCAGTACCTTCGTGTTACCTCCTACACAACCTTTTCTGATTTTAGTTTAACTTTTCTATGAGATTATGAATTTCTGACCCTATTAACACTCATTATGTAAAATTCAAGTACTGTATGTATGCTGTATGCTCTTATAAGAATCCTGAAATATTTATTCTGTGCTTGTGTATGTGAATGTCAATGCAACTATTATTAGAGTGGACATTAAGCTTTACCGTTGAATGTAAATTCATTATTTCTTTTTTGTACACTTGTGGAAAAGTGGAGTAGTGTTAATTTTTTAAGCCACTGTTGATTATCAGTTTTTTGTGTATGAAACACAAGTAAAATATCTTTCTTAAATCAAGCTATGCATGCATTTGAGGATTTATTGGTAGGAATCTGTGAAGCTTAAGCTCTGTGAATTACTAAATCTAAGGGTATAAATGGAGTGCTGAATGTGCTTGAGGATGTTGATATAAAACCAATACATGTATTTTTAAATAGCATATAGCTGATGAGGGAATTCCAAGGAGTTTTCTACGTTATTGTACATTCACAGAATAAAGCTGAAGTGTCGTATTAATTGGAACTGTGTAAGAAGCTACATAGCTCTAAGATTTCTAACAGGCCCTTTAATCTAGCATCAAAGAGAACAACTGGATTTCTTGAGACACGTCCTGAATGTTTTAAGTTTCCAAACTGCTGACAGTTCAGAATAGGACAATTCTCATTCATTTTTAAGAACCTGCAGCAAGTCTTAAAACACCACAGAAGGTACAGCGCTAATAAAAGAACTCGTATGTCAGAGCATGAACCACCAATGGCCTCGTGCTCTATTTAGAGTTTTCTTGTGCTACCAGTCTTGGTTTACTGGCAATGAAAAAGAGGATACTTGAGAAAGAGAATCCTTGATTCAGTTCTAAAGGCTAGCCAAGATGAAAAAACATAAGATTTGGGGAGGGAGCTGTTCTTTCATGCAAGTGTTCTATGCAAGTACATTTAGACTGATTTTTTTATTTGGTGACTAATCCAACCATTTCCAAAATGTTCATGCACTGGAGTTATGGGGGTAACTCCAACACATAGAAGGATACTCTTGGTTTGTTCTCATCATAAGGTAGTTCTCCTCAATGCCTCTGGCAAAAATCCAGCACAAAGATTAAAATCTTACAGGAATCGTTAATATTTGATTATTTTTAGATATTAGTTTAATTTTTTATTTTTTTTTCTTCTGAGCGCTTCCCTTTTCCTCTATACAACCTAATCTGATTAATTTTTCACCCATGGTCATATGAAGCTGATTTTCAAAGGTTTGCTTCTGTCAAAATGAACCAAGAGCTGCACTATGTCCAGTTTGCCTGTTTTAACACAAACCTACATTTGCCAGTGCTGTCTTTGCTGCAGATGTTTACTGCTGGAGGTATTTATGCTTGCATAATTTGGTAGTCAAAAGCAGAATATGTGAAGAGAAGCATTCCAATATAGAGATCTGATAGAACAGCAGAAAAACTCTCAGAGGAGAAAAGATGCTCTTACTGGCATAGTTTAAAAGGAGGCTGGATTGCACCAGTAGGATACACATTACACAGATTCACTGTATTTTCAGAAGACTGAATCAGGCAGCTCACCAGATTTTTAGGAAATTTTTCTGTATTTGGACCCTATAGTCCAACTGGAATGCTGAGACATTTTAAGTGAAATTTGACTATTTCAAAACTACTGTACAAATTATACCATTGACATCCTTGATTTTGGTGTCCAGGAGGAGGAGAAGCCCTTGGCACAAAGTGTTTGTGGGGTAGGAAGGGGGCAGACTTTGCACATTCTGCCTCAGTTTTGGGGGGTGCTGCTTAAATACTATGTGACAATGAGAACTGAGAATCAGAGGTGGCCAAGACCAATAAGAACCAAGACACAAAAGTCTCTTTTATTCTCTTGCTGACAATGAAAGGAGCAAGACAAAGTACACTGCAGAATTTGTTAACAAGATAATTGCAGTTCTGGGGCCTTTTACCACCTGAACAATTTGTTTCTCTCAGAATCCATGTATTTTCTGTGAGTATATTGTCTTTGGAAGTCTGTTTTTATGCATACAAGATCAGTGAACAAAACTATTGGGCTTTTATAACAATTAAGTCTGAGTTATGTTGTATATTAATTACATATTGACATTAAAAAGATATCTTACTTTACATTAGGTTTCTTTCGGCTCAGTATTTGGGTCATTGCACATCACAGGGGAGGATCCAATTGAAGTTTTCCAATGTTCTTACTTAAGGGGAAGAAAATAGAACCCCAAATGCATTTCCCAAATATTATATATGAAAATCCATTATGGAATTAATTGCAGTCAGCATTGGTATCTTTTAGGATCATCTTTCATTTTCTCTTCTTTTTCACTCATTTGATGCATTTCAAGAACTGCTTCCTTTTTTTGGAAAAAGCTGTTACATGGTTAATTGACTTTCTCCCCAGGAGAAATGTGAGCAAACTACCTTTATAGAACAGTGCTTTTTCTATAGGATATATAATTCATGTTGGCCGATCAAAAGGTTAGTCCTGCACATTCTAGGACTTAACAGTCTCAAAGTTCCAATAAATAGCATTTCCTCTAGAAATCCTCACTATGTTCGCACCCTAATCTATATGTAACATAATTAGGTACATAATGAGTCCATGATTCTTCTTGCTTCATGTCATCTAACACTTCAGTTAGAGTTTTCACTGTAAAATCACTTGTTCTCTAACTATAATTGCATTCTTCAAATGTAAAGTCAATGACTGCCTTTCTTTTATACAATTGGCCTCACTTACTTTAACCCAGACATGTTTGTGTCAACAACTGGGTAGAATAAACCATGTACATTCTTCCTTCCTAATCCCTGGCAGCCTTGTTCCATCTCTTTTGGCGACGTTTTGTGTGCCTCAAGTGTTTCGGCACCACTTGAGCAGCACTGAGGAGAATTAGAAAGTCCTTCCCCGTTAATTACAGGAATGGCGCCACACAAGAAGCCCAACAAGACATAGTAATTGTTAAAATGCATCAATCACACAGCCACCCTAGACTTCTAATCCTGCAATAGTTTTTCTATTAGATAAACCCTTCAGCTTTTCTGGGACTGAAATTCCACTCATGCAGCCACAGCGGGAAAAGTGTGTGTGATTCTGGGGGAAACTAGACTGAAAATGTGTGTGGATACAATCTTAACTAAGCCCCTAGTGCATCATAGCCCTCCTTTAAGAAAACAAGAAGCAATCCCTGCCTTGAAGATCTTTTTTTTTCTGTCAGTGTTTAAGGAATCCTACCTGAAGTTTCTCTGCCTGTGAAATGATGTGCTGAGCAGTTACAAACCAAATCAGTTCTGTACTTGGACATAAGGCTTTTCAGACATCATTAGTCCTACCCCCACATTATCTATGCTCTCAAAGTCATTATTGACTGGTGTCAGAACCTTCCCCTTCATCACCTATGGTATGAACAGCCTTAGGGTTATTGAGGACCCAAGACCTTATTCTCACAGGCTGGCACAGGAGGCTCAGGCCCTGTCTGGACACTGTGAAACCCAGCTGTGGGGAGCTTCAGCTGGCATCAAGGCCACATCATGACAGGATGAAGGGGCTTAACTTTGCTGAACTTGCTGTCAAATCCCTCCCTTGTGGTGTGGAAATTACCTGGGGTGCATGTTAGATAAGGTACAAGCCTAAAACCATGAAATTCTGTTTGTCTGCCTAAAAGGGACAACATTTAGGTACTCACATTTGAGAAAGTGATCCACAGAGCTCCTGATGGCTGTTTACTGGGTAAAGACCAGCTGCCTAACCCCAAGAGTGTATAAATTGTGTTAGATCACTTATTTGTAGACTCACAAAAGTTCTTTGTAGGACTGAATTTAAGCTGCCACCAAGCATCACAAAAGCTACCTTGATCTCTCAAAGCCACATGTAAGGATATTCTGTTAATCTACTTCAACGCAGTTGCAATATAAATGCAAACCTGAGGTTAAGCTGCATCTTACACTGAAGGGTGACTGCGCTGAGAACTGGTGGGCACAAGTATCTCCCTCTGTTTTCAGAGAGTAAATGGCACAAAAAGGTGAAACCAGTTTTATTTTTATCGTCAGGTTCCCTGCAAACACACAAGGAGGTCTGAGCTAGTCACATATGATCATATTCTGTCCAGCAGCACAAACAAGGAGACATTTATTAGCCAGAAAGCGCTGGGAGTGTTATGTGGGTCGGTTCTTCCACAACATTAGATGATACAGGAGATTCAAAGTGTAAGAGCTCAACCCAGGGCACTAAAGGCACTTACTTTCAGTCAGAGGGAGGAGCTATTCTGCCTATAGACCTTGCTAATGGCCCCCTGGGTCAAACAGGCTTTCACAAATAGCCTGTATCATCTGCATAGCTGTCAAATGCGCTGTTTGGCTGATGCAGGAATTGCTGACCTGTGAGTTAGATTGCTCCAATTGTTTGTACCTAAGAAAAAAAAAAATCCCACAAAATATATTTGCTTATGCCCTTATTGTGCACTCTGGGCTCCCTCTGTGAACCTGCCAAGCCATGGCAGCGCTGGCATTCATTAGTATGCACACAGGCTAATGCAAAGCAACCTGGAAGTAATGGGATATTACAGTGCTATAGTGCAAAGCCTTTACAGCCTGATCAATATTGATGGTGAAGTTAGCTCTGCGCTGATTAAATTACAAAGCAAAAGCACCGCAGCAAGTGAGTTTTGTGGTGGAACACTCACTGCTACAGCCTCTACCAGAATTGTTTCACCATTTTCAGCTCTTGGAGATGTGTCAGTTCACATTTCTCTGGCTGACTGGTGACTTAGGACAACCCCTCCAAAATGTAGACATGCTGTCAAGATTGTCTTCTGCATGACAAGGACAAGCATGAAATCACAGAAATAAAATAGGAATTTGATCCTGCAGTGAACAAATGGCACCATGTCTTTTATCAGCCTCTAGCTTTTCACAGTAATGAAATGTAACATGCCACAATAAAAGCTGGGGGCAAATTTGCCTTCTCTGGCATGTTTTGAAAGCAGTGCAGCATTAGAAACACTGGTTTCCTCAGTCAGTACAAGACATTTTCTGCTACAGTAACATAAATGAGCTTCTTTCTCAAATACATCCAGCAAGGTCACTGTGATCATATTACTGCTTTCCTCTCTCTCCCCTCCCATCCTCACCCCCCCCCCCCCCAGTATAAGATCACTGTGATTCACTATGAATATGGCTAAGAAAAGGCACATACAGGTTCAAGGCATTAACAGGCACTATTTCTTTTCCACCCGAGCAATGTTAATAACTAAGCGTCTGTTCTTTGTATGTTTCTGCTGCAGGCGATAACCACACCAGATCCTACAAAGAAATGAGTGCATGAGGGCATGCTGCTTTTAGAGACATGGTCCAGAACTAGCAATTTTAGGTTGCCTACTTAAGAATCCAGCACTGTTGGAAAATATCTGCTAGTCCCACTGAGCATACACAACCAGGGTTTCTTGTATGGCAGAACCCATCCTGAACAATGAAACACAGTTTTATACACATTTAATGGTTTTGAGGTGGTTTCTTTTTGTCCTAACCAGATGTTCTGGAAATCAAATGCCAATGGGAGCAAAAGAATTGCTCAGCTGGACTGTCTGTTTTGATTGAGGTTAGAAATCTTAGGTATTTTACTAACCTGGGCTTTTCATTCTGTGACTTTAAAAGTAGATCTTTTAATGCTTCATTTAATACCCTTCTCACTCATATAATTTTAAAAAAGATAATACGTTATCTTATAAAAAATCTGTTATATAATGAGCACCTGAGCATTTTTTAATGCACAGCTTACTGTGTTTCAGACTAGGAGAGGAGGTTATTCTATGTCAAAACCCTGAGGACAGAGAAAAATATACTTTTAACGAAAATGTAAAAGAATAATTTGGTTACAAAAAAAAAAAAAAAAGAGAAGAAACCATGTACTGATCAGTGTTTGAAAGTTCCACATCTTAAGATGAACATCTTTGTGTAGGACAGCAATAGTTTGGTTATGAACTTGAAGTTTGTTAGATTTTTGAATCCTGGAAGAATGATTTTTCAAGCTTGTGGAGGTCTACTTCTAACACTTAAAAATTGATAGATAAGTAAACAGGTAAGACATCCTCTAATGAGAAAGACTGTCTTGAAGTACAAAAATAGCTATTTGTAGTTCTACTAGTGGGAGGTTGATCTTCCAACGTTGCTGTCCTCCAAAATAGGCAAAGAGGGCAAATATGTGCTCACAGTGCCTTCAACTCTGTAATGGGAACTCCCTATGTGCAACCCTAAAGCACATCATATAAATCCTTTACTTAAATCCTTTATATCCCTGCAGTCACCACCAGACTCTGGGACAGTGCTTTCACTTCTGCACCCGATGTCCTCTTGCATTAGTGTACTGTAAATAACTGCTAGATCTGGCAGGTTAGATTTGTAATGGGACACTGATGGGTTAATTTGCTTTCCTTTTCCACCTGTACCTTTCATCTAAGCGCTAGGGGCCACATCGTTCAGTAGATAACAATAGGAGGCATTTAAACAACTAATAAACATTACTCAGTGATGGGCAGCACGAAGTCTAATGGGCAATTAGCGCTGCAATATCTACACATCATCAAAGCTTCCTCCAATCCACACTATTAGCAATGACAATGGAGACACTGAGTGGGGTCTGAAGAAACCGCATTGTTCCAGCTGGAAAAGATTTCGGGGTTTCCTTGTTGCACTGGAGGAGATGCTCTTTCAGTTTCTCTTCTTTCTGCCTTTTTTAATATTCACTTTTGCCCAGTGATGACTTCGTCTGTCAGAGTTGAGTGCTGTCAGCTGTGGATCCTTTGAATAAATCTGTGTGCATATAAGCCTGCTTCCTTATTGGCCATGCTGCAAGGTTAAACGCCTAATTTATTGTTAAGTGCTGAGATGGGAGGGTTTGCTATTATGAAGATGGTTAAATACCTTCCTTCTTCTCCTCCTCCTTCCCCCCCCCCCCCTTTTCTTCAGTAAATGAATGAGTTACGTTAATTTGTTTGCTTCTCATATAAGACACAAGTGCTTATAATCATTTCTGTTATCAAATCAGTGGAAGAGAGAGAAGGAAGGAAATACAAGTTATCCTGTGATATTCAACTCCCCAGTTATCATTCCGGACTGGCAGTGTC